CTTTCTTTCTTTCTTTCTTTCTTTCTTTCTTTCTTTCTTTCTTTCTTCCTTTCTCCTTTTTTCTCCCTTCCTTCTTTCCTTCCCTACTTCCTTTTCTTTTTTATCTTTTTCTTTCTCTCTCTTTTTGTTCTTTCTTTCTTCCCTCTTCCTTTCTTTCTTCTTTCTTCCTTCCTTTTTTCTTTCTTTCCTCCTTTCCTTTCCTTTCCTTCTTTCTTTCTTTTTCTTTCTTTCTTTTTGTTTTTATCTTCTTCCTTCCTTCCTTTCTTTCTATCTTTCTTTCTTTCTTTCTTTCTTCCTTTCTTTCTTTCTAGATGATAGGCACAGGTTTCCAGGGTCTGTCGCAACTGGTGGCCAGGGGTCTTTCTAAGCTGACCTACTCCATGCTTTGCCTCCCTGACGACCTGCGGGACAGAGGAGTAGATTCGTTGCCCAACTATTACTACAAGGAGGACGGATTGAAGCTCTGGAGTGCTATAGAGAGGTGCGATCCCCATAGAAGGCAATGGGAGAGAAATGACAACACGGCAGAACTGCAGGCTTGATGAGGAGGCACCTTTCATTCAGGATCTAGCGTTTTTCCACCACAGCAGTTTTAAAATGGCTGGACTTCAACTCCCAGAATTCCCCAACCAGCGTGGGAATTCTGGGACTTGAAGTCCACACATCTTAAACCTGCTGAAGTTAGGGGGAAAAACACTCTTATAGGGGAATTCATGTCATAGTATCTTGCCTGCAAGTTAATCTCTAGATTGGAGATCTCGGCTTGCATGAAATAAGATTATTTATTTGACACGCTTGTGGTTTCCTAGCTAATATGTGGTGAAAGCAGAGGTGGTATTCAGTCAGTTCTGACCGGTTCTTCAGAACCGGTAGTGGAAATTTTGAGTAGTTCGAAGAACCAGCAATTCCCACCTCTGACTGGCCCCGCCCCCATCTATTCTCCACCTCCCGAGTCCCAGCTGATTGGCTGGATCTTCTTTGTTTGCCCTGCACAGGAGAACGGAGCTGGAAAGCAGGTTAGTGGGGTGGGGAGGGAATGGGATTTTGCAGTAATCTTCCCCTGCCACACCCACCAAGCCACGCCCACCAAGCCACATCATGCTCACCAAGCCATGGCCACAGAACTGGTAGTAAAAAAAAAAATTGAATCCCACCACTGGGCAAAACTGATGGTTATCATTCCTTAATCAGAATGGGCAAGAAATGCTGAATGCAGTCAAAACAGGCAACCCAGTCTTACATTTTTGTCTGTTTTATTAAACCGTGGTATGTGCCAGCTCTGATTAACAGAAGCCTTGCTTGGGTGAGGGGTGGGGGTAGACTAGATGACCTACAACATCCCTTTCAACTCCGTTAATCTGTTACAATTTGTTACACCCAGGGTCGTTGATTGAGATGGGTAGCTCTAAAAAAAAAGTTTAATAAATGATATATTGACTGGCTCAAGAGAAAGCACAAGGAATTTAAACAGCAATCGGCATAAATAGAGCTGGGGTTTGATATCTAGCAGTGGGTTGAATTTTTCCCTAATGGCTTCTTAGCTTTTCTACCATCCTGTTCTAACCAAAGCTTCCTGAGACTGTAATTAAGCACACATGTAGATAAAATAACTCTTGTTTTATTTCAACGCTGGGAATTATGTTCATTCCCAGCCAGTAATGAGTCTCAAACAGTCCCTCGAGATAAGCACCCACCTTTCTCTCCTTTGAATTGCTGCCAACAAATAAAGTGCCAAATTAACTGTAAAAAACAACAACCGAAATACAAAGTCCGCACAGAGTTTCGAGGATTAATCTGAACAGAGTGAACAATGTTGCTTCCTGCAAAGGTTTCATCATCTTTGCCTGTCTTTTATCCCTTATGGGAGGGGCAATCACCTCCCAGCCTTACTCTTGAGTCACCCCTTTTGTCTCAGCTGCTCTCGCCTTCTAGCAGTTCTGCGCATATGCGCCCTGGGAACAGGCTCCCCTTGTTCCTCAGCCTCGCTGCTGCCAGACTCTGGAGGCTGTGGAGTTAGCACACAACTCCCAGATGGTCCTGACCCCATCTCTACATTGGACATAGGATCTTTGTCTGAGTCCTCCCAGACTCCTGGACTGGTCCCCGTTCTTCCCCACTGTCCCAGCTGCCAGCGAACCACAACATACCCGTTCGTTTATCAGAAGTCCCTGCTGCTGTACTGCTGTTTTGTCAAATGTGAGTTTTTCTCTTGTATACCAGGATGGATGACCTTTCTGTCCCCCTGCCCACCATGTTTTGCATCTTTGCAGTTTTGTGTCTGGAATGATCGGCCTTTACTATCTGAGCGACGGAGCTGTGGAGAAAGATATGGAGCTACAGGCCTGGGTGGCTGAAATCTTTGAAAAATGTTTCCATCAGCGGCAATCCTCCGGTATAAAATTCTTTTTCTCTCAAACCCACCACGATCGAGGTGTGAAATCAAGAACAGCCAGAGGCAGTTTAAACTGTGGGGTGTCCGATCTTGTCCACTTGAAGACTTGTGGATTTCGACTCTCAAAATTCCCCAGCCCGCAAAGGTTCAGCAGGATTCAGCACTTGATGGGACACAGATAAATGTGGCTAGACTATTGCATTTTTTTAAATTGGATAACTTTCTTAGTAGATAGTGGGAATGCAGACAATGTAATATATCTTGACTTTTTTTTTCACAGAGTGAAAAAAAAAGAGCTGCCTGGGGGATTGTGGGAGTTGAAGTCCACAAATCTTAAGGTTGTTAGAGTTGGACACCTCTGTTTGTGGAGATAAGATTGCACCCCAGGCCACTTAAAACTCTTTAGAAAGGGTACTCCGGGGTGATACAGAACTCATCAAGTGGTTGGTTTGATTGTTTGTCACCTGGGAGGTGGGAATCTATTTCAATTTTATTGTAGTTTTATTTTTGTAAGCTGCCCAGGGTCACTGCGATTGAGTCGGGAGGTCCTATGAATGTTCTTAATAAATAGGTAATCCCATCCCAAAAAATATATTTATTTTTTAAAAATTCTTCCAGGTTTCCCCGCACATCTTGGAACTGTGGCTGAGTTGACAAAGTATCTGACCATGATAATCTTCACCTGTTCAGTCCGCCATGCCAGTGTCAACAATAGCCAGGTTTGGAGGTCCTCTTATCTTCTTCCTTAACTCTATAGGAGGATGGGGTGGGTTGAACCATCTATCTGCCCCCTTTACTCCAACCCAAGGCTCCCCATGCTAACTAGATATTATGAAAAGTAAGCCAAAATATATGGATGATATCAGATGGGCGGAAATCTCACTGTGTGCATGAAAAAGGGGGTTTAATAAACATGTCTCCATCTTGAAGATGAAGCTTCTTAGATGATTCCACGCTTGGAGATGGAGCTACAAGTTTCACCTGTAGAAAGGCATCCCAGAGAGCCAATGGAGGTCTCCTTTCTAGATCTCTCCTCCAGAAAAGAACTCTAGAACGCTATCTTTTTCCAAGCGGGAGCTAAGGAACGGCTCAAAGTTCTGAAGATAGGCTAACCTCCAACTTCTCCTCTTCTCCAGTTTGATTTTGGAGCCTGGATGCCCAACTACCCTTCCACCATGAGGAGGCCTCCTCCAGAATCCAAGGGCGGCATGACTTTTGCCGACATCCTGGAAACCTTGCCGGACGTCAGCACGAGCTGCCAGATGTTGCTCATCTTGTGGCTTCTCAGCCGAGAGCGAGGAGATAAGGTGAGGTGATATTTTCAGCATCGCAAGCCAAATTAAAGGGATCACGAGAGGAAAGGATTAAGGAGTGGCGCAGTGGCACGGTGGCGCGGTGGCTTGGAGGCAGAGCTCTCGCCTCACAATCAGGAGGCTATAAATTCGATCCTAGGCAGATATTTTTCTCTCTGGGTACAATGTTGTTTTATTTTGCTGAACAAAACTCCGCGCTGGCAACAGGAAGGGCATCCGGCCACTAAACACTCAGCTCCATTCAGTAGCCCAGACTCCATCTCGCAAGGGATGATGGAGTCATTAAATGAATGAGAAGGAAAGATTAAGGAATTTTTAATCCCAATCTATAATTTAGCCGTGGGTTTTTTTAAATAATCCCACCCCCTGAAATTTGACAAATCAAGGTTGTGTTATAATATGTTTTTGTGGTGCTGGCTGGTTTGATTTAAAGTGACATCTCGGTCCAGTGACACTCTAATTTATAAACCGTGGTTTGCAAGCCCAAACAATCCTAGTTTGGTTAATAAACCACAGTCAAACAAGCCATGTCTTAAGTCTGAATTCAGTCCTGGCCTCTCAGACTAAGTTACCTTGTGGATTGTTGTGAAGAAAGACCTGGTTCTCGACTTACGACGATCTTATACAATCTTTTGAAATTACCACAGAACACACCCTGCCAAAGGGACTTATGACCCTGTTCTGAAGTTCTGACGGTTCCCCTCAAGGTCACATAATCACATATTTGGAGCTAAGTGCCGTTTGCAATGCTCAAATCACATAATCAAAATTAATAATGTTTTTGCCAAAAAAAAATACTCCAGCATTTGCTTCCTATTTTTGGCAAAAACACCTCCTAGAGAACAATGGGTTCACTTAATGACTGCAGATTCATTTAGCAACCATGGTGATTCACTTAATGACCGCTGCAAAAAATAGCTCGTAAAATTGGATCGGTCATATGGTGATCCTCGCTTTATGACTTGTCACAAAGTAACAAGCCTAATAGGCTGGTTTCCTTACAGTCGTAAGTTGAGGACCACCTGTAAAAGGGAGACAGAGGAAATTTGCAGCTCACTTAGATTCTTCAGAGGAATGAAGAACTAACAGTAAAGTTAATTTTGTCCCATTTTACGACCTTCCATGCCACAGTTGTTAAGTGAATCACTGCTTCCGCATTGACTTTGCTCATTGGAAGGTCACAAAAGGGGAATCGCATGACCCTATTGCGACCGTCATAAGTAGGAGTCAATTGCCAAGTGTCCAAATTTTGATCACGTGACCAGGGGGGTGCTGCAATGGTCGTAGGTGTGAAAAACAATCCCAACTCGCTTTTTCAGTGCCATTCATATTCCAAACGGTCACTAAATGAATTATTGTAAGTCGAGGACTGCCTGTATAAATCACATTCAGGTATTTACATAAAAACAGATAACAGATAATCAGAGCTGGAAGGGACCTTGTAGGTCATCTAGTCCAACCAGGGGTGGGATTCTACCAGTTGGCACCTATTCGCTAAAACCGGTTGTTAACATTCGAAGCAGTTCAGAGAACCGGTTGTTAGAAGAAATTACAGGGCTAATCCTGTAAGGGAGGCAGGAAGGAAACATTCTGGTGTTGCTTACTGAAACTGCCTCTCCGCTAACCCTTATTACATTCTTGGCAGGACTAGACTTCCTGTCTCTGGAACTTCTCTGGAGTTTTTTCCCCCTCCTTTGCTGGTACTTTGCTTGTGTGGAGTGACCATTACAGTTACAATGGCACTGAAAAAAGTGACTTATGGCTGTTGTTCACACTTACGACTGTTGCAGCATCCCACAGTCATGAGAGGCCAGGAGAGGAGATGCGTGCCTCAATGTGCGTGATGTTGAGTTGGCCACACCCAGCCAATAACATGACCACTAAGCCATGCCCACCAACTTAGCCAAACCCACAGAACCAGTTGTTAAAAAAATTGAATCCCACCCCTTAGTCCAACCCCCCATCCAAGCGGGAGACCCTCCACCATTTCTGACAGAGGGCAGTCCAGTCTCTTCTTGAAAGCCTCCAGGGATGAAGCTCCCACAACTTCCGAAGGCAACTTCTGTTCCATCGGTTGATTGTTCTCATGGTCAGAAAGTTTTCTCCTTATTTCCAGGTTGAATCTCTCCTGGATCGGTTTCCATCCATTATTCCTTGTCTGCCCTTGGAAAATAGGTTGACCCCTTCTTCCTCTCTGGGGCAGCCCCTCAAATATTAGAAGGCTGCTCTCCTGTCTCCCCTGGTTCTTCTTTTCCCTAGACCAGCCAGGCCCAGTTCCTGCAACCATTCGTCGTATGTTTTAGCCTCCAGTCCTCTCATCATCCTGGTTGCTCTTCTCTACACTCTTTCTAGAATCTCAACATCTGTTTTATAGTGTGGTGACCAAAACTGGATGCAGTCCTCTAGGTGTGGCCTTACTCAGGCTTTATAGAGCGGTATTAGTACCTCACTTGATCTGGATTGTATCCCTCTGTTAATGCAATTTAGGATTGCATTAGCTTTTTTGGCTGCTGCTGCACACGGCTGGCTCCTCTTTAGCTGGTTGTCCACTGAGACTCCAAGATCCCTCTCACAGTTCCTGCTATTGAGCCTGGTTTCACCCAGTCTGTGTGTGTACTTTTGGGTTTCTTTTTGCCTAAGTGTAGGACTTTCCTTTTCTCTACATTGAATTTCATTTTATTAGATACAGCCCAGTCTTCTAGTCTGTCGAGATCCATCTGGATCTTGAGCCTGTCTTCTTGGGTGTTGGCTATTCCTGCCAACTTAGTATCATCTGCAAATTTCATAAGTTATCCTTCTATTCCCTCATCTCAGTCATTTATGAAGACATTAAAGAGTACTGGACCTAAGACAGAACCTTCTGGCACCCCACTGCTTCCTTCCCTCCATGTAGACTTAGACCCATGAAGGACTACTCGTTGAGTACGGTTGCCAGCCAGTTGCGAGTCCATCTAGTGGTGGTGCTATCTGAGTTGGCCACGCCCAGTCAATAACATGACCACCAAGCCATGCCCACCAACTAAGCCACACCCACAGAACAAGTTGTTAAAAATTTTGAATCCCACCTCTGCTACCGTCCCTGTCCTATTGTTTCTTTTATTTTTCTTATATGTATATGTGTATTCATAACTATATTTTTACTTATACGTATTATCTTGTAAGCAATTGACAAACCAAATAAAATAAAAATAGAATGATAGAATAGAATAGAAAATAGAATATAGAACAGAATATAGAATAGAATAGAATAGAATAGAATAGAATAGAATAGAATAGAATTCTTTATTGGCTAAGTGTGATTGGACAGACATGGAATTTGTCTGCTGCATAAGCTCTCAGTGTACATAAGAAAAAAATAAAACTAATAGATAGAAAGACTAGAAGTTTACAGATGTTAGGCATGTTTAAATGTATTTTTAAATAATAATATGAGAATCACTAAAATTTGATAAATGTGATAGAGAATAGAATAGAATTCTTTATTGGCCAAGTGTGATTGGACACACAAGGAATTTGTCTTTGATGCAAATGCTCTCAGTGTTACATAAAGAAAAAATAAAAATACATTCATCAAGAATCATAAGATACAACACAGTGATACTCATAAGCAGCCAAATCATACTAGAGAACAAATAAACAATATAAAAACAATATAAAAATATAAAGATACAAGCGACACGGTTATAGTCATAAGTTGGAAGAGATAGGGAATAGGAAGGATGAGAAGAATAACAGTAATACAGTCTTACTAAATAGTTGGACAGCGTTGAGGGAATTATTTGTTTAGCAGAGTGATGGCATTCGGGGGGAAACTGTCCTTTTGTCTAGTTGTCCTGGTGTGCAGTGCCCTATAGATATATAGATGATAGATAGATAGATAGATAGATAGATAGATAGATAGATAGATAGATAGATAGATAGATAGAGAGTTATGTAGATATAGATGTAGATATAGAGATTATCAACACTGCTAGGTATGAATTGGATCAATATGAATGATATGATGAAGAATTAATTTTTTATACATAATAGAGAAATGTTTATATTGAACAAGAAAAACATAGATGAAGATAGAAATAAAGATGAGGAGTTAGGCATTTTTTGTTTACGTATGTTTAGGCAGTATAATGAGGATTATTTAAATCTGACAAATGTGACAGCGATTACTAATATTGTTATGATGAATGGATTAATATGAATGATAACCAGCTCTGTTCACACACAATATGGATGTATATTTTAAAAAATATGGATGTATATTTTAAAAAAGACCTCACTGTGGCTTTCTTTCATCTCCTTCCAGAGATCTCTGGGTTACTACCCTGAGGAACATTTCACTGAGGAAGGCCCAAAGAAGGTCATCGCCACTTTCCAAAAACAATTGAGCAAGATCTCTCAGGAAATCGTGGAGAGAAATCGACGACTTCCGCTGCCGTACAATTATCTCAACCCTCCTGAAGTAGAGAACAGCATCTCCATCTGAGGACCGGTCACTCGTCCTGTTGTACAATGAGGTTTCTAAGCCCAACGAGTCATGGAGGACCTTCTATGGAAAGACACCTGGTCAAGAGTTAGGACACTTCATTATAGATTGAGTAGACTGCGGCCAACCACTTCCAGAAATCTGGTTGTGGAACAGAGACAATGGTGTTGAGGGTGTGAAAACGAGTGAGCTTTGACTGGGTGGTTGTGCCAACACATCTGGACATTTGTGACCTGCCCCCTCTTTGTGGACACTTCAGAAAGAAAGATTCGGTCCTAGCTCGGCCATCATCTGTTCTGTCGCAGGCTTCCCCCAAAACACACTAAGCCAACTCTGAGTCGCGGCAAAACCTCTTTTATTAAATGAATGTGAATTTGTTGCATTCACATTCAGCCAACAGCCTGGCAAAGAGTCTTGCAAAGGTATAATCATTAGCTCAGACCTTATCTATCTTGGAAAGCTGCCCAGTAAATAGTTCCACACTCAGTGCTGACAAGGAAGGGCTGAGTTATACAGATGAATCTTCACAAGGCTGGAACGAATGAGCGAACAAGTTGTTTCCTGCAAAAGCCCCCTCCCCTTTTGCTCCTCTTTTAATCCTGATGGGAGGGGCTATTCACCGTCCACCAATGCCCTTACTCCCACATTGACCTTGAGTTCTTAATTGTGCCTTACTTTTGGCAGCTCTGCTTATGCGCAAGCTGGGAACCGGTTCCAGAAGCTCCCACGCCTCACTGCTGTCCGAGCCTGAAGGCAGCTGATAACTGCCAGCCTTGCCCTGGCCCCATCTCTGCCTCCGATGCAGAGCCCTCGTCCGAGCCTTCCTCAGCCTCCGGGACTGGCCTGGGTTTCTCCCCAAACTCCTCACTACTGTCTGACTCTGCTGCCAGCTCCATCAGTCACTGGCGGGCCACAACACCGTCTAGGTCCTCACTAGAAGCTTTACTCCACATTCCCCCCACTGTTCTTTATTTTAGGACTGGCAGTGGGTCACACTGTTGCAAGAAAAATCGAGGTCCGGTTTCAAACCGGGAGACAGAATGATGGAAATAAAATAGAGGCAGGCTGCAGGAAAGGATGTCTCTGTTTATTTGGTAGCCAGAAACTAGTGACAGCAGCAGGTTTCTGGGGCAGCTGACTAAATGGGGTTGAGAGTAGGTGAGCTTTTATATACCTTCTTTGGGGCTTTGTGATTGAGATGCCTGTTCCTGTGCACGAATATGTCTTTTAATATTTTAATGCCTGCTGCCAGATTCCTATAGGGCTGTGATGGCGAACCTATGGCACGCGTGCCGGAAGTGACACACAGAGCCATTTCTGCCGGCATGCGAGAGGTCTCCCGGAAGAGCCCCACTGTGCATGCATGCACACACACACCACCAGCCAGCTGATTGTCGGGTATCTGTCATGCATGCGTGGTGAGAGATGCGCACATGGGAGATGCACACACGTGCGCAAGGGGCAGGGTGCATGGGGAGGTGTTGCACACGCATGTGCAGAGGTGTACAGTGGGGGGGTTGTGTGCGCATGCAAGTTTGCACACACGCACGCACCTTTGGCACACTGTGCTCCGTTTTCATTGGCAGAGGCACCGTGGGACGGTCCAGGCCAGCCCTGTGGGCCAGTTCTAAGCTACTTGCTGTCCACATCCAACCCGCAGGCTGTCAGCTTGACACCACCGCTCTAAGGCCAAAGGGATTCAAAGAACGGATTATTTTGGGATTTATTGATTGATCGATCGATCACATTTATATAACCATATTTCATGTAATGATTTAACTGGGCTGAATTCGCCCATTTTGCAATATTGCAGAGACAATATGCCAGTCTATTGTCTCCAACCCAAACTTATTTTCTTACTAGCTCGATCCCCGTGCTTCTCTATGGTTGGGCTTAGTTTTTGAGCAGGAAAATTAAGGAGGAAAAAATTCTGCCTCTGCCTACCAGCCTCCATCGGCATTCATCTGGCTAGCATCCTGTCAGTGCGGGAGAGAGTGGAGGGCTGTTTGGAACCTGGAAGAGTATTTGCTGTGTGAGCAAGAAAGAGACAGCAAGGAGCCTGGGCGTGGCTTAGCTCAACTGTTCTGTACAAAAGCTGCTGGGGGCTGTTGAACTAAAATTGAAAGTGAAACTCCTCTGCTTGTGTTTTGCATTCGGGAGACATTTCTTTTCAGGTGGAGACGGGGAGTAGAACTCTCTAAGCATCAGAGTGTAATAATAATAATAATAATAATAATAATAATAATAATAATAATAATAATAATAATAATAATA